ACTAATGATGTGTCAAAATGAAACAAGCAATAAATTTAATCTTATTAGACAAAATATACTTACCAATGCACCATCGGTCGCACCCTCCGGAGTCACGTACCGAACCGATGTTTGCCGATATCTATCCATGTATGGGTCATGATACCCCATTCGACCCACATTTGTTGGATTGACAATGTCCTGAAGTTGTCGGTTCTCCCATATTGCGATCATTTCCGCCAACTTCATGGGCCAATCGTGAGTACCTTGTCGACCATCTCGGTGGTGAAACGCCCTTTGACTCTCGGGGACCTCCAACGGAATGCACTGCTCCCGACCAAACTGACGAAGGCATCGATCCGGCAGGGCTACTCCACGATCCCTAAACAAATGAGAGGGACCCTCGTGCACCATTGCCCGATATTCTCGAGGAATTGCTGTAAATGCCAATGAACTATGTTCGCCGGGTATGGATCGAATTTGATCTTAAAAAAAAATTAGTAACTTAAGTTAAACAAAATTGGAAAAATACATGTACTCCATGAAAAAAAGTTATAGCACTTAGAAGTATTCTAGTTACCTCTCCTTCCCAAAGTCGCTCTAGCCTCCTCCGATACTCTACCAACTTGTGTTGGGCAAGGTTGTCGCATGTTGAGGCTCCAACCCACCTTATTAATAAGACAATAATAAAAATACAATCAGCTTTAAATAAGCTAAAACATAAGAAAATTGTGTTATTAAAATCATGATGAGGTATGAGAAATTTACCTACAACCATAAGCTTCGAGTCTTAGGGGATGATCGGGACCCCAATTCCTGTCAGGACATTGGAGCGGTGCAATCCATGGCAGATGCTCCCAAGCCCAAAATTGGACGATGAACATTGCGCCGCCGACCTCCCTCACAGCTTTGATAGATGCATTGCACAAATGGTGGTATATATTAGCTAGGCAAGCGGATGCCCAGCTCAACTCCCCCATCTCATCCCAACTACCAAGGAGGATCCTAAGCCATCCACAGCTAATTAAATTGCTCGATTTTTTGGAGAAGAACACTCCTCCTATCATGCCTATGAGATAGACACGAGCATATCTTTCCTTCTCTAGCTCCGGACTCTCCTCGGTTAGGGGCACCCCATCTTTGGCAGGATCGTGATGGTCCCTAAAATACTTCGTCAACCAAGTGATCGATACTTGGTGTTTCCTCAATGGTGGCAAGCGATCCGTCGCATCAACGCTCCCCTTGATTGGTACTTTCACCCCCAAAACACTGTGGATGAAATGCTGCCAACCGGTCATACTGTCACGATCCTCGGGGGGATGATCACTCACACACACCGCTTTGCCGTCGATGGGCAGATGGGTTAGGATGGCCACATCCTTTAGCGTGATGGTGCACTCTCCTTCGCGAAAGTTGAAACAATGTGTTTCCTTTCTCCATCTCTCCACCAATGCGGTGATGAGTTGGCGATCAACTTTTATGCCTACAAAATGCCTAATCGATTCCAACCGTGCCCTTTTGAGAAAGGGCAAGATGACTGGGTTCCATGGGAGCACATTGGCCGTACCCCTGTAGCGGAGTATTTGTTGTGCCTCCTAGCAAAAATTTTAACGTTATTTATGATATATATATATATTAGTAACAGTTTAGTCTTATAACTAAATTAATTAAAAGTAATGATTTAATTTTGACCATAATTCTATTAAAATTATATTATTAACAATTAAATCTAAGTAATTGATGGTTTTTGCCAAGATATATACATATTATCATAAAACAAACATACTCAATTAATTGACATAAATAACATTATAAATGAATAATAATTTAAAGAGATACATACATATTCAAACATTTGAAATAAATAAAATTCATTTAAGTACACATAAACATAAATCGTATTGGTTGTTTTCAATAATTTAATCATATTGGTTGATACGGTGGATGGGTTGTTCTCGGTGAAGTCTGCTTACCATCTAGCTGTTAAGTTAGATATGCGAAGCACTGGCTGGAAAGCCACGGTTAGTTGGATGGATAAAGCAAGTTGGATCCGGCTGTGGGATGCGGATATCCCCCCTAAATTGAAAGTCTTTGTCTGGCAGATTCTTAATCGAATCTTACCAACTACTGAGGCCCTGATCAGCAGGCGAGTGCCGGTGCTCCCTCAGTGTCCGGTTTGCTGGGATAGCCCGGAAACGATGGAACATTTGTTCCTTGATTGCCCTGTGGCGCGTGCTTTGTGGGATTACTCAGGGCTGGAGTATGTAGGGGAGGGCTTGGCCCGTCACACTTTCCCTCTGTTCCTTAAGAAGGTGATGGGCTTGATTAACCAACCCCAGTTGTTCATGGCAGTGGTTGCCATTCTGTGGCGGATTTGGCGTTCACGGAACTGTGTCGTCTTTGAAGGCAAACAGTTTGGGATCCCTGCTTTGATGCGACAGTTTCATCAGCAATATGAGGAATGGGTGCGACTGCCGAGGGACAAGGTTCTCCAGACCTCAGTCCAGGTGGGGGAGGACAGAGAGCTAGGTGCGAATGGGGCAGTCATTTGCATGTGGGATGGGGCGATTCGGCCAGGGTCACATTCGGCTGGGGGAATTGTACTGTTATCCCCGAGCCGAGAGGTCCTTATGGTCAAGGCCGTCCACTTCCCGCTGTTGGATGACCCGATGACGGTGGAGCTTCTGGTCCTTAGGGAGGCAGTCTCATGGTGTCTGGCAAATGGCTTCACTAATGTCTTATTTGAAGGGGATGCGAAGGTGATCATCGACAAAATCAACCAAGGGGAGGCTAGAGACAATCGGGTGGGTGCTGTGTTGGAGGAGGTCTTACATTACTTCCGTACTCACTCTGGCTTGAGAGTTCGATTTGTAGGTCGGCGTAGTAATAGGGTAGCCCATTTGGTGGCTCGGAAAGCCCTTTCTTTGTACCCGATCATGAATCGTGCCTTTAATTATCAGGCCTGGCTGTGTTCCAGGATGTAACTATTTTTTTATATCAATATAAGATTATCTTTTGTAAAAAAAAAAGGTTGTTTGGTAAATAATTTAATCATATTGGTTGTTTTAAATAATTTAATCGAATACAATGCAACACTCGTTAGACTCTTGGAAGAGGTATACATCTTCTTAGAAACGCAGCCTTTTTGACAGAAAAGGGGGATCCGATGATCTCTTAACACCCGATTTTCTCAGGAAATGGGAGAATCATGATAATCGCTTAAAACCTCATTTCCTTAGACGTGCATCTCTTTATAAAGAGTCGAAGTAAGTGGCGCTATTTATTCGATTAAATTATTGAAAACAACCAATACAATTAAATTATTTCAAATTTATTTTATATTCCACTAAATACATTAGCAAAATAAAAGAAAGACAAATGATGAAGAATTGTATGTGCCTGGTGATCATTCCAAACATCCCTTGAACGATGGTTGGGTTGGTCGTACAAGTCGGTTGGATCAATAGGTCCTTGATCCTAATAATAGCGTTGGTTGTATATATCCACGTCGTCCCCAACCTATGAGAGAATAACAACAAGGTTAGCACATAGATTAATTAAAAAGCTTATAACAAAAACAAAAATTGACCAGAATAATGAGTACGTACCGCTTGACATTCATCATAATAAACTCCCTCTCCTTGGAACCACTTGCCCATTTTTTCGCGAAAGTCGGACAGAAATTCGGCGGATTTTTAGGGAAAAACCAAAGAAATGATTTCTGATAGCAGATCGAACTTAGCCGCAACCAACAGACCACTATTTCCTAGACTTTTGGGAGGGGAGGGGTTAGAGAGATAATTTTAGAGAGAGAGTGAAGAATGGGTTGTGGTGTGAAGAAATGAGAAGGGGGAGGGGGTATTTATACTATTCAGACTGCACCCTCCAGGGGCGGTCTGGTAATTTTGCCCTGCCAGAAACCGCACCCTCCCGATGCGTTCTGCGAGGATAGAGGCGCTGACCGCACCTGCCAGCTGCGGTCTTCGATCCATGGCGCGGATCGCTGAGGTGGCAAGCGGTCCGCCGTTGGATCGCCGCCTGATCCTGCGTTCTCCAAGCCCGCTCCCGAGGAAACACAGACCGCACCTCCAAGGTGCGGTTCACTGGCTGACGTGGCATGGAACACACCTCTAAGGTGCGGTTTATTTATAAAACGCACCTTGGAGGTGCGGTTTACAAATAATGGTGCTATTTTTGTAATTTCTTTGGAATGGGTGCTGTTTTTGTAAATTTTTTTAATATGTGCTATTATTGAAAAAATCACCAATCTGTATACGGAACAGGATGTAGATGTTACTTTGTGTTGGGTTTGTTTTGTATGGATATAAAGATGAAATTGAACCAACCCAACCCGCAACAAACCGATAGGGTTTTAAAATCAGTCGGTGGGTTTAGATTAGAAATTATCCAACCCGAGGTCTATAAGTCGGGTGATTTAAATTGTTCAAACCCGAACTACCCGACCCATGTACATCCCTAATCGAAGGAAACACTGCAACATACAACAACTAGAAGGAAGAATTGTCGAGTGAAGATTATTGGTACATTGATAGGGGTGTCAATTCAGATCGGGTTCAATTACCCAAATTGAAACCCGAAAAAATCCAAAAACCCGAAACCGAAATAACTTAAAACCGAACCCAAACCCGATAAGGACTTCCGGAATAATAACACACTGGCAACTGTGAGGGCCTCGAGTGCTGAAGTCACTAGAAGCAAGATAGCAGTGGAGGAAGAGCAAGCTCCAGAGGAGCATATGGATGAGGTGAATGTGGCGACTGACATGCTTTTATAGAATATCCTTCGATGCTGTATTGGTAGTTTTTAGGCCAGTGTTCGGTTTCTGGTTATCCGAAACTCGAAAATTCCTTATCGGGTTCGGGTTCAATTAAAGCAAAACCGAAACCCAAATGCCTAAGAATACGAGATGAGTTCTATTCCTTGGAGGTTTTCAGACAGAACCCAAAAACCCGATAAGCAAAACCAAACCTGAAAAACCCAAAACGGAAAACAAAACCAAACCAGAAAATGTATCTAATCGAATCACTTTCGAATAAACCCAAAAAATCGAACACGAATGTACACCCCTATATATGGAGAACTCGTTTGCGGTGGTGGAAATGAGAGGAGAAGACTGCTTGATTGAATACCGCAAATTTTGCAGGAGGCCTACATCCAAGACGGAGAAATGACAACATTGCTGGTATCTCAACCTCGTGCAATGAACTACAGGAATTACAAGATCTTTGACTCGGTTGTTACCGCTGTCGACCTAAAAAGTCGAATTCCCTATGTAGCTGTTTCCAATTTTCAACGCCTGCGCAATTCTAATGTTTTCTCAATCATGGATAATTCAACACTGGAGAAGCATCTGCACGACTCTACAATTGTAACACAGCACCAGTATATAATGATACGAAAGCAAAGATCTAGGTGCAATTCCAGCATTAGACCAGTCTCTGCTTAAGCATAGATATCGTTCTGCAAAATTCGACAATGACTAAGAACAAAAATGGATAATGAAAAGTCTGCTGAACTACTGCTACGAAACATTTGTTGCCCCAAAGTAAAGATCCAACACCAAAACAGTACTACCACACATACAGAGGCGAAAAGCGCAAGCGACGATTCACAGCCTCCTTCCCCTCCTGCCTCCCTTTCTACGAGTGCTGTCTGTAGGGATTGGAGTAACATCCTCTGCACAAAGAGGTAAAAAAACGAATAAAAAATGAATTCTTAGGGAAAACTTCAGTAATCAAGAAAATCTTCAAGTAACAGTAGATACAATCTCATACCAATACGCCCAATTTTCATGCCAGAACGAGCAAGAGCCCTAAGTGCTGACTGAGCACCAGGGCCAGGAGTCTTGGTCTTGTTTCCTCCTGTAGCTCTAAGCTTTATGTGCAGAGAATTAATGCCGAGTTCCTGTTTAGCAAAGAAAATCAGATGAACGGAAACGCATAACTACAGCTAAATACACAACCCTCAACCATTTGCTCATGTATAAATAGAATAGCACCAGCCTTAACAGACCTTGCATCTTTGAGCAACATCCTGTGCTGCAAGCATAGCAGCATAGGGGGAGGACTCGTCCCTATCAGCTTTCACCTTCATACCACCTGAACTCGAACACCATGATCAAATTATTACATGGTTGACACAAGGAAGCACTTCGTAAGTGATGATGCAAACTGTAACTGCTCTAGATTGAACACAAGAAGCATACCAGTAATACGAACCAACGTTTCTCTTCCAGAAAGATCAGTAACATGCTACAATAGACAGTTCCATGATTAGACGCAACATTAGAAAAATCAAAGTTCAACTAGAGGACAGCATGAAGAACTCAAAGCTTACAATGAAGGTGTCATTGAATGATGCAAAAATGTGAGCAGTGCCAAAAACGGTCTGTCCAGGCTGCACAGCAGGTCCAAGGCTGGTAGGCTCCTCCTTGACCTCTCTAACCTTTCGCTTAGACTGCAGACAGATGAAAATGACCGACATTAAGGATTCAGAAAGCAATCAAGCATGCACATTATACAAGCACCTTTCTCTAATTGGAGGAAATACAGGACCAAAACAAACAAAAGAAAAACCTCCAATTTCTGTAATGATAATTCAAAGCAGATAAGCGACAGAGTCGAGGATCCACAGAAAACTTGACACTACAATTCACAGATATATATTACCACAACCAGGTTCCCAAACTAAGCTAGCTAAAGCATAATCGAAAAGTCAAGCGCCTAGAGAATTGAAACGTCGAATCGAATTTGTCAACTTAACTTTGCCCTAATCTCACTGCAGGAACACCATAGGAACAAAAATTGAAACTCGTAAATCAAACATAAATTGCAATCTCCATTCCCGTTGCGACAGATGATTCGAACAAAGAGTAAACAATATACGGAATCGCGTCAATGTAGAAGGCATTTTCATGGCATCCAAATTAAACGAGAACTCATCGGAAAAGAGAGAAAACTAGAGACACTAAGAAGCATCTCACCATGGCTGCGAGGAGATACGGAAGTGAGAATGCTAAGGTACTGTGGAGCAATTTTCCGCTTTCAGTCAGAGGGGAAATTGGATAGCAAGAGACGATGGGCAGGGAGGATGATTCAATTTATATCTAGGGTTTAGGAAAGATGACAGTGGCGTGTTGGGGTTAAGGGCAGACAGGATTTGGGCCTTTATAACCTCATTAAGTTGGGCTGGGATTGGATTTGCACGTGGGTCGAACCGAGCTTACTATATGGACAAGGTATGAGAATTCATGGCCCAACGACTAATCATAGTATTTCTTGTTTTCTAGGTGAGAAGATATTTTTTTTTCTGAATCGCTAAATGTCGCCCTAAAAATTGCTATACATCGCCCTAACTTAAATATAAAATTACTTATATACCCTTAAATAAAAACTCAAATTTCGCTCTAAACAAACAACCCCTTACATTTCAAATTCATTCCCCTCCCCACTCACCCGCCCTTTGAAGAGGAAAAGAAAAAGAAAAAAAAAACCTATGTCGCCCTCTCACCCGCGACAGCCGCCGACAGCTCTCCCTCTCACCTGCGACAGCCAATCGCCGCCGCCGCCAGTCCCACCCGCCAGTCGCCGCCGCCGCCAGTCCCGCCCGTCAGTCGTCGCCTCCGCGCGTCGTCCAGCCGCCGCCCGATCTCGCCCGCCAGTCCCGCCCGTCGCGTCGCCGCCGTCTCCTGCCAGTCGCCTCCGCCCGTCACGTCGTCCCCGGAGAAGACCGTCGCCTCCCGCCAGTCGCCACTCGTCACTGGAGAAGACCGCCGGAAAAGGTACCGCGATGCCCTCCGGTTAGACCGCCGGTTGATCGCGGTCAACGCGCGGTTGGACCGCATGCTGACCGCGGTCAACGCGCGGTTTGGCCATCGGTCCAACCCCGCGTTGACCGCGGTTAGCCTGCGGTCCAACCGCGCGTTGACCTCGGTCAACTTTATTTTTTTTTTAATTTTCTGTCATTTATTATTCAATAAATATTAATAGAAAAAAAATGATTAAAAAATATACTTAATAAAAATAATTTAGTTATATATTTTGTCAATAATGATATAAAAACGTATTCGATAAATGTTAATTAATGATAAAAAATTTAAAGAACATTATAAAAAATTTAAAAATGTATTTTTATCATTTTAATAATCAAAATTTCAAAGTAATTCGTTTATCTACTTAATTATTAATAATTTTACCTTGATTAATTATTTACTTTTATGTAAATAACTAGAAACAAAACCCGGCCCATTGGCCGGATACATTTGATCATGATATAAACAATAAGTAGTAATTATCTTAACTATTTACAACATAACTATATTTATTATCGATTCTACCATCTTCACTCTCAAATGTCTCGAGTATTATTAGCTTCTTCTTAACAATATCGTTTCTTAACAACATAACTATATTCATTATTGATTCTGCATATAGATGTCTTCTTCTTAACAACGTCGTTATAAGTATCAGTGACTCCACTGCCTTTACCATCAAAAGAGTGTGTAATTCTCCTCATTTAATTGCTAACAAATTTGAAGGCAAAACTTATGCAAATATCAAACATCATTATCATGCAAAATAAATTTACCTCATCCAAGTCATTTGCAATAATTGTTTGAGATGTGTTCTTTCTCATCTTTGATTATCTTTCAAACTATGAATTCACTTATGAGAATTGTAATTTCCATTGTCGTTCATATGATTTTCGCTAACCTCAATTTTCAGAAGAGAAGGAGGATGTCCTCTTTTACCAGTATTTTGAAATAGTTTCTCAGCATCCTGCAAATCTAATAAAAAAATCTTAGTTCTTTGTCGTTCAAAATTAAAATGTCCGGTTCAACCTTTTTCTTCAAAACATGAAGTTAGATTGAGATTCACTATTTAATTCAACAGTATAATTACATATGCTCAAAACCCTCTCACCCTTCCAACATTACTTGCCCCCCACTTTATAATTGTAATACGTTTTTTTGTTCTCTCATGTATAAATAACTCCATTATTTTGCTACCATATAATCTTTATAATTAAAGAAGTTACATAAGTTTCATGTAAAAGATGGTATTTTATGCAATGTGTATGAAAAATTCTTACATAAGCCATTACAAACATCTCAGGAAACATAATGACAATTTTGACTTAACCCATATTATTCGATCTATTTAACCTTTTTTAAAGTGGGCAATACCTACCTCTTACAGCGGGCAGGTATGAGTACTCTTCTCGACCTCACACATCCTGACATTCTCCATCCTCGACTCGAGAATCTAGTTTAACTACAATTTATCATGTTATACCTTTTTATTTTCTAATAAAAATAAATATTTCTAATCTTTTCGATTTAAATTACATACTCATATGGATTGACCTATCTCGATATGAACGGGTATGGATATCACAATTGCCATTCCTAATGCGAGAGGGATCGCAGGAATAAACAACTAAAGTTAAGTACTGGAGCTTGATTAAGAAAATAGAGTAATGACTATTTATCAGCTAAACCTTTTTCAGATTCTTTTTTATTAGTCAAGTTTATTAAAATGCTATTAATTAGCTAAATGTTAACTCTTCGTTGACTTTTCCGTTTGATGATGGTGAGTTTTCAGACGCGGCGCTGAGTTGGAAAGAATATTTTTATGTGGCAGTAAAAAAATGTCACATTAGCAGGTCAACCATTGACCACTTCAATATTTTATTATAAAACGGTTAACACTATTTATTAGCCAAATCTTTTTAGCATTCTTTTTTAGCCAGACCTATTTAATTACTAATAATTATTCAATTAGCCAAATGTTAACTTTCAGTTAACAATTTTGTTAGTAATATTGACTTGAAAACATGATACTGACTTGGAAGAGACAAATGAAGGTCAACATTCCAAAATTTTAGTATTATAACTAAGAATATAGTAACAAAATTATCAACGATAATGTAAAAATGACAAATATTTTAATGCATTACAAAATATTTGGCCAGTTATTAGTAATTCAATAGGTTTGATTAATAAAGAAAATGCGAGAAATGTTTGGCTAATAGTTAGTGTTTACTCATTTATTCATTGATGAGGTGGCAACTGAGTTGGACGTTGAGTTGGAGCACCGTTAAGAAATAGTTAACGGTAACAGAATAATGGCTATTACTTTGACGTGTTACAAAATGTTTGACAAATTTTTAGTATTTCAATAAGTTTGTTAATAAAATAGAACAAAAAAATTGGCTAATAAATCATTAAAAAGAATGCTGAATTTTAATAAGCTATTTATTAGTACATCAAATTAATTGGTCTATTAAACCAAACCATCGATTAGCAGGGAAACATCCAAATATATAAAAGGACTAAGTAATCCTTCCGAAATGTGCGCCGAGAGCCGGAAAAATTGAATTGGAGAGTTCTCAAGGAGAAACTCAAATTAATTGGTCTATTAAACCAAACCATCGATTAGCAGGGAAACATCCAAATATATAAAAGGACTAAGTAATCCTTCCGAACTGTGCGCCGAGAGCCGGAAAAATTGAATTGGAGAGTTCTCAAGGAGAAACTCCATATATGATTTGTAGGAAGGATGATTACATAGAACGTAACATAAATGTTGAAACTATTAAATTTATAATTTTAATTATGAAAATCTTAAATTAATTACTTTATGTACTCTATTATTAATAATCCATTATTAATAATTCAAACTTTTTTTTGAAGATGTCTGGACATGGAATGGGTAAACCGGATATGATTAAGGCGAGAAATAAGGAGAGAATGGAAGGTCGTGCTTGTAGACTTACGGCGACTGGTAGGAAAGAAAATGAAGAAAAAATCCACCTAAGGTTAGAAGGAAGAAGAAGAAGAAGGCGGACGTAGTGCGTCCTGACGGCCACCCTACTGTGGGGCAGTTGCTCTTAGTCGAGGTACTACCAGTACTCCTACACCAGAGAGTGCACCGGTATGACAGGCTAATTGGAGTGATTCCATTAACGAGGATGATGATGATGACGGTGATGCTGAGGTTGGGAATGCTCCAGATGCTGGTGATGCTGCTGGTGATGATGCTGGTGATCGTGCTGGTGATGCTGAGGCTAGGGATGCCCCACCTCAAGCTGATTTAGGCGTGGGGAAGACGGCGCGGGTCGGGATATCTTCTACTGCCTCCTCCCACTTCCGTGGGCCCGATGGACGCTATGCGACCAGACCTAGTAGCGAGGATGGCGGAGATGGAAATAGGAAGAGGAAGACCACGAGGAAAGATATGTCATGGTTTCTTACAGCCGAGTCTCCCATGTGTTCAGGTGGACCAGTGATTCCCGATGTGATCCCTAGCTTTGGAGGTCACATTGGCTTGGTACTGTGGAATTCCCCTAAGCAGGACCGTGGAGTGTTGGACGGCTTCCATAGGTCGAGAGCTGTAGAGACTTTGAGGCGATATAAGTGGAGTGCAGAGGGTTCCAAGGAGATG